CGGTTGATCCATTTTTCTGCATGGTAATTAGTGGTAATTTGCACAAAAGCAACACGAAAAATCTGCGTTCTCTCTACGCATGCCTTCAGTAACCCTTAGGGCGACCAAATTGCCGAAAATGGAAGCTCTTAGAAGGTAGAAATCAGATCAGATAAGTACCATTTCCATGACACAGAAGCAACTGTACCTAACGTTTGATACTTGCGTTATAACTATAATAGTGAATCACCAGTAAAAACATCTAAATAAAGTAAGTCTGAATGTGCTGCTTGGTTTGTTTAGCTACTGGGTTAAATTATTTTGTATGTATTTAAGGGGCAGAGTCCCTGATGACCCTATTAATGTAGAGTGCTATCGCGGGCTTGTCATCAAAGTAAAGTGATTGGACCACAGTACAACCGGACTGATAAGTAAGCGATAGTGTGTACTGTAAGTCAGTGCGGAAATATTGTGAATGACAAAGTGTTTTACAGAGCTGGCTGTAGGTGGTCATGGCGCAAAAGCCGGTTTCTGTCGAAAATTAGGCGAACAAGTGTTCTTTTAAACATGCAAAATATGCCAATCGTTTCGATCTTACTTGATAGCGAGTTCTGTGGTCGGACAACCAGCTGACTGAATGAAACCTTCCTACGGTCTAGCCGCGTGCGTTCACTCTTGACTTTGTAGGTACGACCTCGAAGTTGGGTTTTATGGGCACACTTAAAAAGGTTCTCCTTTCATAATGAGCAAACTTGGCCACTGACAATATGGAATGCCCAGAGAAGACGGAAGTTTCGTTGCCTATAAGAGAGAGGGAATATGCCTAGCACATTCAACCTCTGCTGGTAAGACAAATGTTTTGCACCGTCGACTATCTTCGCTGCTCTGCGTTGCACCTGTTCAGTAAGTAGAATAGGCCCCAGAATATTCGGTAAAATACTAACCACCCCGGTTAAGCGACCGTCTAATACGTTTTTCAATTAAATTTTCCATGTGATGGTTAGAGCAAGCTTGAGAATTTCAATGAGGGAAAATGAAAAGATCAATGTTTACCATAAGACATGTCCGGAAGATAAAACCGGAGGTATTCCGACGCGGCCACCAAGAGGCGCACTTTCACATTCAGTAACATTCGTACGTTCATACCAGAGTTCTCGATTATATTTCCAGGTTCTTCTATATCAACCACTTCTAGCCCCACAGCGGGCCTATTCAGATGCGACCAGAAATCGAAGAAATCTATAGTATGCGCATATTCAACCTCAGGACTTGCGCAGTATCTATCGCACGATCTACTCCTTTCCCACCTGAAACCGGTGTCACGACGGAGTCAAGAAGACCGGAGACGTGGGAGGGCACAGTAAATGGCACGGTCAAGCCCGCACCTTGACGCTCCACTCCACATCCCTGGTACACAAAACAAATAGCTAGGTTCATAACCAACAACAAAGAATGGAGGCTGACGTGACCGAGGTTGCACCTACAGTAGATGTACTAACTCATGAAATGTCAACCAAAATTTCGAATTGCCTTCTGGTTTTGAAAAGATATATTAAGTAGTATTGTAAGACTAATCATGATCCAACATATATCTATAATGATTCAGTTACCTCAGGGTGTCGGCTTTCGAAAGAACTTATTTTCGGCTGCATGGAAGATCTGTACTCTGTAAAAAAATGACTACTTATATAGCATGTAATTTTCTCATTGATTTTCGATGTCCTTGAAAATTCAATTACAGTTCACGGAAAACATGCATAAAAATATTCATTCTTTTACTTATTCGGTAGAAAATCACGTCTTCTTCCAACTTCATACTCAAAAGAAGAGTATAATTCGGTTTTAAAAAAGTTTCTAATTGTGAGATTTTTTAAAACTGTTAAATGGTCGTTCATGTAACGTCATATATCTGCATTTAAGAATGTGGCTTGTAAAGTCAACAATTGCTCAAATCCTCTGCTTAATTTTATGAACCACATATGGTCTCCTCTTAACACTGTCGATAAATGCATGGTTTTCCGTACACAAAAAGTATACAGCATATAGATTTGAAACCCTGAATGCAAGTGCAACAGCAGGTCGGTTTCAAAATTATCCGGCAATTAGAAAAGTTTTTTAAACCGTATTATACTTTTCTTTTGAGTATGAAATTGGGAGGAGACGTGATTTTCTACCGAATAAGTAAAACATGAATATTTTATACACGTTTTATATGAACTACAATTGCATTTTCAATTGCATCAAAAATCAATGAAAAAATTGCATACTAGATAAGTAGTCATTATTTTAGAGTATTGATCTTCCATGCAGCTGAAAATAAGTTCTTTCTAAAGCCGACTCCCTGAGGTAACTGGATCATTATAGATTTATACTGCATCCTGATTAGTTTTACAAAAATACTTAATTTATATTTTCGAAACGAGAACGCATTTCGTAATTTTGGCTGATATTTCATGAGTTAGCACATCTACTGTAGGCGTCCGGCAACATCCGGCTCGGATCCCACGAGTGGGAGTGCCGTAAAGGCCACATTAAGAAGAAACCATTGCAGCCTGACTCCCTGAGCACAAACCGGCCGCCGTCGACCGACTGCGAGGTTTAAATTATCCCGTAAGTGGACAACCTTCCAAGCCGCGGCTTTAGCACACCGGATAACTTCAAGCGCGTTAGAGTGTTTATAGTGAGACAGATGCGCGGAGGCGTCGACCTCACATTCTACTCCCATTCCCAGACCCCAACCAAGGCGGTCAGTTCACTGGTGCAGGGAAGGGGGGGCGGTGGCTGACATGGTCTAGTACCTTGTCTGCGCACACCACATGCACGACCTGGCCCGACAAACACAAGTCCCAGGATTTCACACAACGGGGATTGAGCGGCGTGAGAGTGCCGTGAAAGGAGCTGTTTTTACCCGGTTCTCAGCCCAGCACCCACCAGTATGCCAATCTCTACAACTACACAAATAACTTGACGGACGGCGAGAGCTGAGTTGCGACGTCAGTCAGCAGCCTTCCAGCCAGGCCCTTGACGTGCAGTGATAGTCTGGAGTCACGCATGCAGCAGGAGTCGCACAGGCACCGAGTCGATGCGCGTACGCCCTGTTTGCGCAGGAGGTAGCAATTGAATGCGTTGGGTGATGCTGATGTGCGAGGAGATGATGGTGAGAGAGGACGTGATGGTGGGATGTAGCCGGCGGTCGTCTACCGCAGGTTCTCGTGGACGTGTATGTGGTGCATGAATGTTCAAGGACAGTGTGCACAGTGGAGGCGGAGGCGGTGGGTGTACGTTTGTGCTTCAAGCACTGGTTCGCAGTGTCTATGCGATGGGTTCGCAAGTGACCGACCAGGCCGATGCGTGAGGTGAAGGTGCGGTCGCATTGAGGACAGGCATAGACGTTGTCCTCACCCCTGATGTCGACGGCGGGTGTGTTGGTGTTTGTTGTTGTGTCAGACTGTGTGTCATGTTGAGGTGCGAGGCAGACGCCACAACGGCGGGCGTTGAGGCATATAAGAAGGAGGATGAGGATTGCAGTGATGGTTCAGGAGGACGGTCAGAGTTAGTTGTCTGCGTGGAAGGCGAGGACGAGGCGAGACGAAGAGATGACGGTGCTGCATTTGGTCCGAGGGTGTCCAACATACCAGTTTGCGTCCGGAATGTCAGCTGACACCGTAGACACGTTGGGGGCGGTCCAGTGTTGGCTTTGAGAAGTGGGTGCAGCTGAGACTTTTTATAATAGTGTATTTTAGGGTAATAGGCAATGCCCTTGATGACCCTATTGATAACGCTACATACAATACAAATATTAAATGCGCACCCTACTAAATTGTTGTCAGTAACGTATTTGTTTACGGAAAAGGTTTTGCAGTGCGGGACAGCGAAGGGTTCGGCGGGCGGTCGCTTCAATACATATATGAAATTTTAAGTGCAGTTATATACAATCAGCATAAAGTACAGTCATTTGTATAGTTTGAGAGGGAACATTTCATTAAAAGTCAGGAATGTGTTACATAGGGATGAGATCAAGAAATGAAATTGTTTGGTTGTCCGAAGTTAGTCCTCTAGTGAGAGTCGTCGTTTATCAAAGATCAAACGATTTTACAGCCATTGTATCAGATGTCACTAAGTATCAAATGTCACTAATTCACTTGAGATTCAGTTCCACGGTTGAACAACACGCTGGCTGAAGGAAAACTTCCGATGGTCTAGGCGTGTGCGCTCCCGCTTGACTTTGTATGGATGACCGCGCATATGACTCATGGTAGTGAATTCAAAGAAGTCCTTAGTTTTGAGCGAACATTTATGCCCGCGGATAATGCGGAATGCCTATAACAGGTCAGACTTCATTCTTCTATAGGATAGGGGGAACAAATTTAGTTTGATCAGTCCTTCTGGGTATGACAGAGTCCTGAGACCGACAGTCAGAGTTAGCTGTCGGCGTGGAAGGCGAGGACAAGGTGGGACGAAAAGACGACGGTGCCGCATTTGGTCCGAAGGTGTCCAACAATTCCAGTTGACGCCCGGTACGTCCGCTGACACCGTGGACTCGTCGAGGCCGGCGTTGGCGTTGAGAGGTGGGTGCAACTAAGATTTACGTGCATCTCGTTTGGCTCTCAAGGCGGTGACGCGGTTAGCCTCGTAGATCACTCCGTCTGTCATCACTGTCCTCCTCGAGATCTGTCGGCCACAAGCGAAGTCTTCCCAATCGGTCGGGTTGATCTGCAGACGCTTCAGAGAGGCCTTTAGAGTGTCCTTGTACCGACAGATTTGGCCTCCTTGGCGGCGGGAACCCGTGGCGACATCTCCATAGACGAATAGTTTAGGTAGCCGCTCGTTATCCATTCGCACGTGGTGGCCGGTCTGACGCATGGCGTAGATTCTGTGGATTCCCGTCTGCTCCGGTACGTCAGTGGCGGGGATTCGGTCCTGCCACCTCAGCTTCAGTGTTCCTCAGAGACAGCTGAGGTGGAAGTAATTGAGTGTCTACGCTTGCATCATGTACACGTCCAAGTCTCTGCTCCAAACAGCTATGTCGGGAAGATGACAGCCTTATACATCTTAATTTTCGGGCTGAACGGAAGAGCGTAACGATTCCTAACTGTGTTCTGATGACGACGTAGGGAGTGACTGGCCTTGGAAATCCAGCGGGCTTCTTCGTCGTCGAGTTTGGTGCCGCGGTAGAGGGTACTGTCCAGATACGTGAAGGTTCTCACAACTTGCAATTGGGTCTCGTTCACGCTTATTTGCGGCGCATTGTGGGGAGCTGTGTTGGACGGCGGTTGGTGCATAACCACCGTCTTCTCCGTGTCGATGATAAGACCAAAGTTCCCGCGGGCGGCGAAGAAGAAATCCATGTTCCATGGTGTTGAGGACACGGTCGTCGGCAAAGAGAAGTTCGGGGACGGTGGTTGCGAATACACGCCAGTGAGAGTACATCCGCCGTTGATTGAGGAGGTGGCTGTCCGCCCTCGAGGCGATATGGAACCCGGGGTCGTTTGTCAGGGTAGGCGTTCATTAGCATGGTAGAGAACATATGACTGAAGAGGGTGGGCGCCAGCACGCATCCCTGCTTCACTCCATTGGTCACTGAAATGCTTCTAGGACAGCTCCGCTGTCCGTGACGTGCGCCATCGTGCCATCGGGGAGTTAACGCACCATCAAATTGAATTGCTCGTAACAGACGAATTTCTGCATGATTTTCAGCAGTCCTTCGCGATCCACCGTGTCCAAGTTGAAGCAGACGGGCGATGGCAGCGTCCGAAATGATGGAGGGTCGGTTGAGAACGCCTCGGAAGTGCTCGGTTTATCGCTGTAGAACTTGTCTTCTCAGGGATTAGGGTACTGCCGTCAGCGTCGAGGAGAAGTGCGGTATCTGTGGTTGGCAGGCCGTAGACAGCTTTGATCATGTAGAAGACGTTTTTCCATTCCTTGCTGTCCACATACCCTTGGATCTCCTCAGGCTTGCGAGCCGTCCAGGTGTCCTGTATCTCACGCAGTCGCTGTTACACAAGGCGACGACTAAGATAGAAAGCAGCACTGCTGTCATCAGTGGGACGGTCGACGTAGGCTTTGTGCAGGTGGCCCTTCATGGCGAGCAGGTTGCTGATGCCGGCGTCGTCGTCGTCGTCGTCGTACCAGTCCTGGTGTCTGCGGCGTGCGCGACCGAGGACGGTCTACGTCGTTGACTGGACTATGTCCCGCAGTTGACGTCATCGGTTATCTGCGGAGACGTTCTTGCCAGCGGCGGCAGCGACTGGAAGGTTGTCTAGCCGTTGAGCGATTTTGTTGCTGAAATGGGGATGGTGAGCAGGAGAAGACAACAGGGCAATATTTAGCTTACGTGAGGGTCACTTACCTTGAGGTATCACGTGAGGCAGTAGGCGAATCCGCATTTTCGAGATGACGAGACGATGGCCCGTCCATCCATCAACACTCAGAATCGCCTTTATCACCAGCATATCCCTCTGGAAGAGAACATAGTATATCAGGTGCCACTGACGCGACCAAGGATGCGTCCAGGTGGCCTTTTTTCGCATCGGGATACAAAAAAGCGTGTTCGTCAGGATAAGTCAGTGTTCTGAGCAGGTTCACAAAAGGAGCGAGCCATTGTCTTTGGAGACGTTGAGACAATGAGTACCTAGCACTCTTCTTCAGGCAGCATTGTCTATGCTGAAGCGGGCGTTGAAGTCACCAAGGACATTCAACATTTTGCCTTCGACATAGTCACCAGGAAGTCATGCAGGACCCCGTGGAATTTGCTCCTTTTCGCGTCGGGGTTAGTCATCGTCGGTGCGTAGACGCTGACGATGGTGGCAAATTGGCCTCCTCGAAGAGGCAGATGAAGGCTCATTGGACGATCGTTAACGCCCTGTAGAAGACGGGGCAGTCGTACCACGATGTCTGTCCAAATGGCAAAGGTGACACTCGCGTCCCGTCGCTCTGATTTCAAGAAATCACTCCAGAAGAAGGTTTAACTGACACCCACCTATCCAGTTGGCCTTGTGCGGAGAACCAGGTGCCGCTGATTGCTGCGATGTCCACCTTGATCAGAAGAAGAAGCGATCGCTGGAACAATGGCTTTATTCGCCTGACGTTTCGGATTCTCTCTTGAATCTATCATCAGAAACAGTTGCAGAAAAGGGTGGCTAGTGTACAGGAAGTCGCAGTATTTATAGGATGCGGTCGCCATGCTACCGCATACCTACAGCAATTAACCGTGCTCACTTCATGAAGGATTTTTGCCCGCTGGTGCGCTAATTGCTTGATGGCCGGCATGCAAGTTGTTAATTGCGGACATCTCATCACCCGTGTTGGATGCTGGCGTGATGATTGCTCGGCCATCTGGCTCGCGTGCTTGCGCGCTCCTCGAGTGGTCAATTGCTTTGGCCAGTCTATGCCTCAGGACAGAATATGGAGTGGGGATGTCGTTGCACTTGTTGATAGACTGAGGTCCCGTGAACCATGACTCAAGCAACTCGCGGCTCACGCGATTATCCCCTCTCGCGAGAATTTCGGCCTCATCGAACTTGAATGTGTGGCCGGGTCTCGTCGAATGGGCCGCGACCTGAGTGTTGGCGTCATTTCTCCGTACAGCTGCTACGTGTTCGGCGATTCGCGTCCGGAGCAGTCTTCCAGGTTCTCCGACGTAGTTGCTTTGTCCGCAACTGCACCAGATCCGGTAAACGACTCCAGATGTTTCTTGCCGTGGCAGTGGGTCTTTTGGTCTCATCACTTGACGCCTCATGGTGGGCCGCGAGTTGCTTGAGTCATGGTTCACGGGACCTCAGTCTATCAACAAGTGCAACGACATCCCCACTCCATATTCTGTCCCGAGGCATAGACTGGCCAAAGCACTTGACCACTCGAGGAGCGCGCAAGCACGTAAGCCAGATGGCCGAGCAATCATCATGCCATGTAGTGGAAGTACGACCTGAGTTAGCCTGAAGAGCCTACGACATCACCGTAGGCTTGTGGCCACCAGCGGCGCACCAGACGGAGCCTCGAATCGACGAGGCCGATGCGAAGTTTCACCCGGCCAGCCGTCCATCGAAGTCCACAATACCGTGTGCGCAGATGCCCACGCGCATGCCCTCACCTGGTTCAGCCCGCCGGTCGAGGCGATTACCGGGGTGTGGCACCTAGACATAGCCTAACTTCGGGGAGTCACACTTGAGAGTTAGGTACTAGCAAAGAGACACTAGGCGTAGTCCAAACTATTCAACTACGCTCGCATTGGAGGCAAAGGAATGCGGTCCGTAGTGCGAATATCCTAATGATTCTAGTCTGCATAAGGAAATATGTGCCGAAATCGGCAAATGCCGATGCATGTCACGAATGCCTACCGAGATATTTACGCAGCAGGTCTTTTGAGTTGGCTGTCAAAACAGTTAACATCATATGTGATATTTCCAAAAGGTGGTGCTTGCTTTCCTTCACTATTAAAAACCTATCTTGACTTACAAACCTCTCCTGAATTACCACCTTCCATCTCAATACCAGAGCGTCTCAAATGCGACCAGGACTCCAGGACTTTGTACCCTGCGCCGACATAACCACTTGTCAGGATAGCTATGCAGGCGACAGCAAGTGCAGCAGCCCGGTAAATTAATGCTTACACACATACCAGCAGAACCATACTCGCGCAATTGCTCGCTAAAGTAGACACATGGACAATGACGAAGAAACTTTCCCAGCATAGGACGGGCAAGAAGAATATGTTGTTTTCGTTACGCGATACGCATGCACGCTGTGGACTGCAATGAGTAAGCGCTAACGCAACGACTGATCCGCCTTCAATTTATTCGTGAATTTGAAAACCCCTTTAAAGCTTAATTCTACTCTCTCATTGAACACAAAATATAAAGACGACAAAAAAGCATTGATTTGCTCGTGGTTTCTATAAAATCTCTTCGAATTTGCAAAACCATCGAAAATCAGTGTGAAAAATGCATGCCAAATAAATTGCCATTTTTCCGACTAGGGTTTTATGCGGGCGGTCGAAAAGGAGTGCATACGAAAGCCGACACCCTAGCGACTACGAAACACAATCGGATTATTCCATAAGTTAATCATTATTACAAATCCACCTACGGAATCCTTACTAATCGAACACACATTTCAGAGTCTCAGCCAACATTTCATGAGATTGGTCACGCATTGTATGCACAGCTGTGCTTACGATGTTGTGTGAACGGAAGATATTTCACAGTTGGGAACCCAAATAATTCTGTAATTAATTTGCGTTCAAATAATGGGCTTAATAATTTACCAAAAATGAGCCAAATTTGTTGTATAATCTCCGTCCCTTCTTCCAAAAATGGCGTACGGTTGGATATAGCAAGATTAGTGTTGCAATAAATTACAAAAAAACCTTTTCGGTTCTCAAAAATCTAACAGATATAGCCTGCTTTTATGAGAGCCATGAAGAAGGGTCAAGGTGTAGGATTACTGTGTGGGGCAGACCTAAGTAAATTCTGATAGTTTAACTCAGGATGGTTTCATTTTATTTGCAGATTTTGGGCGACATGAAAATGCGCAAATGGTGAACGAGACGACAAATGACCGACATAAGGGCTGCACCTGCGTCCCCGCCTCCGGTCTTTTTAACCCTGTTTTGAAATCGGGTGCGGGTTTGGGAAGAGGAGAGAGTGCGGTAGATGCTGCGCAAGTCTACATTCACTATAAACTTGTAAGTTGCTTTCATATCAGCAGTTATTAACACGCTGGCACGTTCTGCACACCCAGATCTAACTTTTCATAAATGCCGATCATCCAGCATTGATCTTCGAATAAGTTTATTCGCTCTCGATTCTGCCAGGATAAATCGATTCCATTACGATTCCAGGCGAACAAACTTACCACAATAGTGCAATAATACATGCCCTTTGCGTAAATGGTCTTTACTGTCCCCTAAACAGAACCACGCTTTTCAATTACTTAGCGGGACGGCCATTGAGTGCATCATTAAAGTGCACACATGGAATTGGTATATCGTTGAGCAAGTTAGATTCTTAATCCAATAACGTAGTCGCGTGTTGGCAGAAAGAGAACTTCGCACAAATGCGAATTTATTTTGACGAGTATTATAAAGAAATATATAAAATCAGTCTGTTTACACAATCATAGCCAAGCAACTTCTGGGCTTCCAAACTGCGCTCATTCAGTGTTGTAAGACACTGAGAATTTAAATTTTTATATACTCGAGTCCAACATCTGGCAGTTTATCAAATGAAACGTCCACTGAAATGCTTTAATGGATACAGCTTGACGGAAATTATGTTGTGAATTCCACAAATAGTAAGTTACATCATAGCTAGTAGTTTGAAGTATAAGTGGTGCAACTTTGGCAAAATTA